TGTGTGTGTGTGTGTGTGTGTGTGTGTGTGTGTGTGTGTGTGTGTGTAGATAAGACACCAGGGCAGCATAGAGATAAGTGAAAAGGCTTCAAGAGGTGAGAGTAATTAACCATGTCACTTCTGCTGGGAGGCCAAGTCTAAGGAGGACTTAGAAGGATATAAAAAGTCACTGATATTTAGTCATGAAGGTTGGAGTAGACTGAAGAGTGGATGGCAGCTGTGTAAAGATAATTAAGAGAAGAAACCCATTTGGCAATATCCAAGATCTCATAGTCAGTGAAGGTAAAAATTGAAAAGTCACTGGGATTTTGCTTTGCTCTCCCCAATTCCCTGGTCTTCATGATCTTCATCAAAAGAATGAAAGGGAGACACATACAGTGTATTACAGAAGTGAAACACTCTATTGGTGCAAGTGGACACTAGCCGAGGGAACTATTGTCATAAAGCACACTGTCAAGGGGCAAGAGTGAGCAGCAGACAAAGAAGCCACCCTCCCAGCTTCATTTTACTTGAATGTTTCTTAAGTCAACTTTTGTAGCATATGTTGAGTATGTTTAGAGGGACACTATGAGACTTAACATTATAGTTGAGTCTCCTCCTTAGTTCCCTGATTTTTTACCCTACCAAATAGCAGCATATAATCCTGCCATGAAGTACCTGTACCATTTTTAAAATAGCCTCATTTCAAGAGGATCCTGGGAGTTTGCTAGCCATTCAATCTAGCCAATAGGTGAGATTTAGATTTCGTGAGAGACCTGCCTCAAATTGTAAGGAGGAAGGGCTAGATAGACAGCTGAGTAGTTAAGAGCACTGGCTGCTCTTCCAAAGAAACCAGGGTTCAATTCCCTGCACCCACGTGACAGCTTACAACTGTCTGTAACTCTGGTTCCAAGGGATCTAGTGCCCTCGTCCGGCCTCTGTAGGCACTGCACATACATGGTGAACATATATATTCAGGACAACACCCATACACATAAAATAAAAACAAATAAACATAAATATTTACAATAATGAGGTGAGAGTGCTGGAGCAAAGAATCTGGTATTGACTCTGACATTCACAGGCACATAGACCCAAAACATGTTGGCGGTGACAGCACACACCTTTAATCCCAGCACTCCGGAGGCAGAGACAGAAGGATTTCTGAGTTCAAGGTCAGCCTGGTCTACAGCCTGAGTTCCAGGACAACCAGGGCTACACAGGGAAACCCTGTCTCGAAAAAGAAAAAAATAAAGTGTGCAGTTACATATATCATTTGGTAAGTCTTAATACCTGTGAAAGTATCACAAAATAATAAAAATAATCATTACCCCAAAACTTTCCCTTTAGCTCTCCTGACTGCTGTTCCTCTCACCCTGGGTAACTACGGATCTGATGGTGCTAAAGATGAGCTGCTAGCACCAAGTTTTATATAAGTGAAATCATCTAATGTTTCGTCTCATTGTTTTTTCCCCCACGGAACAAGATCCAGACTGACACTGAATATCTGTTATGATCCTTCAGCTTCCTGAAGTGCATCTCCATACTAAACAATTGGATTTTAAAATTTTACTATTAACATATATTCTATAAAAATGGGTTCTACTATGATATTTTTATATATATGCACTTTGATCATATTATCTAATTGTGGACATTTGAGTAATTACCAAATTTGGAGCTAAATGAAAGTAAAGATATTATGAACATTTGTATTCAAGTATGTGAATATATATTTACATTTTATTGCTATTTAATCCGTATCCACATTGACCATAGACAATATTATTTATGGTTTATTATATTAACATTGATTTACACTGTCTTCAACACTTATTTTAGAAATATTAAGTACTTTTGTTAGATTTGTGGTGACTGTATTTTGCAAAATATAATACAATGACTAAAAAGATTTCTCTGGAAATCCAGAACATGATCTTTTTATTGATTTTGGTTTTTTGAGACAGGGTTTTTCTTCTGGAACCTGTCCTGGAACTACCTCTTGTAGACCAGGCTGGCCTCGAACTCACAGAGATCCTCCTGCCTCTGCCTCCCGAGTGCTGAGATTAAAGGCGTGCGCCACCACCGCCCAGCTCCAGGACATGATCTCTGTGATTTATTGTTTCCATAACTTTCTGTGTCTCCTAGTTTATTCTCGGGATTTTTATTTGGTTAGTTGTTGGGGTTCTTTTGTTTGTTTGTTTGTTTTTGTTTTTTGAGACAGGGTTTCACTGTGTAGCCCTGGCTGTCCTGGAACTCACTCTGTAGACCAAGCCAGCCTTGAACTCACAGAGATCCTCCTGCCTCTACCTCCTGAGTGCAGGGATTAAAGTCATACACCACCAAGGTCCGACATTTATCAGATTTTTGTTTTGTTGAAATAGGGTCTTACTGTGTAGCCATGGCTGGCCTGAAACTCACTCTGTAGACCAAGATTGTCTCCAACTCACAGAGACTTCCTGTCTGCCTCCTGAGTGCTGGGATTAATGTGCCACTACCCCTGACCTTTACCAGATACTTTTTAATCCCATAGGTTTCTTCTAAAGTAAGCTCCACATGGTACCCAGCATCCTCCTTCTCTTCGTCATCAGTGGTAAGTGTTTTGGTTACTAAAATAGACTTCTGAGAAGGAATCGGTGTAATTTTCAGGCATTTTCTGTTTATATGACTGTGATCAAAAAACTTTTAGTTTTCTTTGAGCTTTTTATTGAAATTTGTATGTATTTGTGGGTGTTTTGCCTGCATGTATGTCTGTGCATCATGTAGGCCTCCTGCCTGCAGAGATAGGAGATGTTGTCACATACCCTGGAGCTGGTTACAGATGGTTATGGATGGGTACTGGGAAGAAACCTGGAACCTCCTAACTGCTGAACCATCTTCAAGCCCCTTGTTTTGTGTTTTTAAAAACAGGTCTTTCACATTTAGGGAGGCAGAGGCAGGTGGATCTCTGAGTTCAAGTCTAGTCTGATCTACAGAATGAGCTTCAGAATGGCCAGGATTACACCAAGAAACCCTGTCTCTGAAACAAAACAAAACAATACAAAAAAACAGGTCTTATTATGTAGACCCAGCTTGACTGGAACTCACTGGATCAGCTGACCTTCAGCTTCTGCTTCTACTCTTCCAAAGTGCTGGGGTTACAGATGTGTGCCACCATGCCCAGAAAATTTTTCTGCCTTGGTTTTCTTTCTTTTTTTTTTTTTAAGATTTATTTATTCATCATGTATACAGTGTTCTGTCTGCATGTGTGCCTGCAGGCCAGAGAGGGCACCAGATCTTAATACAGATGATTGTGAGCCACCATGTGGTTGCTGGGAATTGAACTCAGGATCTCTGGAATAGCAGGCAGTGCTCCTAACCGCTGAGCCATCTCTCCAGCCCCATCTCTCTTTCTACCTTGGTTTTCTTATCTGTTATTGTATCTATTATGTTTTAAACAGTTTCAGTGTTGTGAGATGTTGTTTATAATTACAATTTTTAAGAATTGTATAATATTCCTTCCAGTATATGTAACTTGATTATCTTCATATAACACTTAGTATGCCTCAGTTTTTCAATATTGTAAAATAAGCATTTTTATATAGTTTTGAAAACTTCTTGGGCTGGAGAAATGGCTCAGCAGTTAAGAACACTGACTGCTCTTCCAGAGGTACTGAGTTCAATTTCCAGCAACTACATGGTGGCTCAAAACTATATACAGTGGGATCTGATACCCTCTTTAGAAATAAAGGCATACAAGCAGATAGAGCACTTGTATACATAAAATAAATAAATGAAAAATTTTAAAAATTGATTATTTTACTCTTTACTCTCACAAGGTATAAACATTTCCATTGCGACTGGAAGGTTAAATTTTTGGTGGGGAAAGGGCTAGAGAGGTAGCTCAGCAGCTAGATCCAGTTATCCACCAGAATTCCTTCTTCACAGAAAGAGAAAGAGGCTGGGCGGTGGTGGTGCACGCCTTTAATCCCAGCACTCGGGAGACAGAGGCAGGTGGATCTCTGTGAGTTTGAGGCCAGCCTGGTCTACAAGAGCTAGTTCCAGGACGGGCTCTAAAGCTACAGAGAAACCTTGTCTCGAAAAACAAACAAACAAACATGAAAGAGAAAGAGAAGCAAATAATTAATATAAAGGTTTTTATTTTTTGGTGTGTGCTTTTTTCTCTAGCCAACTGTAAAACTCTTCATTGATGGGAAATTTGTTGAATCCAAAAGTGACAAATGGATTGACATCCACAACCCAGTAAGCAAAACTTTTTTGGGACTTGAACCTACTGGTTTGAGTTTTGGGAGCAAAGGATGGGGGGGGGGGCTTGGGGCTCTCCCACAAAGCACAATGTTGCCCCTGTGAGTAGGTCAATGTGGGGAAGGTGAGGCACTGGCAAGATGTGATGGCTTTTTTTCAGGCTACCAATGAGGTCATTGGTCGGGTCCCTCAATCCACCAGAGCTGAAATGGATGCAGCCATTGCGGCCTGCAAACGTGCTTTCCCTGCATGGGCAGACACGTCCATTTTAAGCCGTCAGCAGGTCCTGCTTCGCTATCAACAACTCATTAAAGAAAACCTGGTAAGAAGCTTGAGTTTTCTAGCCTGTCTCCTAGGGTATGTTGGTCACCTCTTCAAAGACTTGTTGAGCTGTCCTGTAACTCTGCAATAAAGGAGGACATTGATCACAGCCCCTTCCCTCATGACCTCATGAGTTCTCGCTCAGTTTTGTCTTTCCTTGGAGGAAAATAGGTGTAGAGTTCAGTGGTAGAGTTTGTGTTTAGTGAGCATGAGAAGACCCTAGATTCAGCCTGGCAAGGTGGTTCATACCTGTAACCCTAGCACTTGGGAGGTAGAGGCATGAAAATCATGAGTTGAAGGCTAGCCTCAACTACAAAAGGAGTTTGAGGCTAACCTGGACTACTTGAGACCTTGTCTTAAAAATATTGTCATCATTATCAACAACAAAATCATGATGTACATTCCTAATATCAAGAAAGTGAGTAAATAAAGGAACAGCCTTGGATTATTTTTTATGTGTATGTTTTCTCTCTAGAAAGAAATTGCCAAGTTAATCACATTGGAACAAGGGAAGACTCTAGCTGATGCTGAAGGAGATGTATTCCGAGGCCTTCGTAAGCTGGGAGCCCCTACTGGGACTTGTGGGAGAGGTCAAAAGACGGTGGGAGATTTATCCCAGAGTGGGGTGGTTGAGTCTTTCTTTATGTAGATCTTGCTATCCTGGGTAACTTTTTTTCTTTGTTTTGATTTTTTTTTTTTTTTGTAGCAGGTTTTCTTTTGATCCACCACCGGCTCCAAAATCATACGTGGAGAGTTATTATTAGTTATGAATGTTTGACCTTATCTTAAGCTTGTCCCACAAGATCTTATAACTTAAACTGTTTCTCTTCATCTATGTTTTGCCTTGGGGCTTTTTACCTTTTCTTTCCTTCTGTAAATCCTACTCCATCGGGCTGCCTGGCGGCTGCCTGCCTGACTGATTGATACCAGGTGTCTCTCTTTCTTTCTCCTTTGCTCGCTCTCTCTCTCTCTCTCTCTCTCTCTCTCCCTCTCTCTCCCTCTTCTTCTCCCTCTCCCCTCCCCCACCCCAGTCTAGATTCTTCCTTTTACTTATTCTGTCTGTCAGCCCTGCCTATCCCTCCTTTGCCTAGCTATTGGCCATTTAGCTTTTGTTTAACTAACCAGGTGCCTTAGGCAGGCAAAGTAATACATCTTTACATCATTAAATAAATGCAGCATAAAGAAATATAGCCCTCCTTTACATAGTTAAATATTCTGCAGTATAAACAAATGTAACATATTTTTACATAGTTAAAGAACTATTCCATGAGAAATTTTTGTCTTTTGAGGCAGAGGCTCCCTATGTATTTCTGGCTGCCTTGGAACTTTCTAGGCAGCCAAGGCTGGCTCTAACCCATGGTCCTCCTACCTCAACCTGCCATGTGCTATAACTATAAGGTGCTACCACTTTAAGCAATACCTTTTAAAACATTTTTAAAGGCAATACTTGTTAGGTACCTTTGAGACTAATATACTGGGGTTTGGGTGGGTTAATTTATTTATTTTAAGAATGTGAGAGTACTCTATCTGCATGTACACATTTTTGGCAGAAGAGGGCATCAGATCCCACTAGAGATGGTTGTGAGCTACCATGTGGTTGCTGGAAATTGAACTTAGGACCTCTGGAAGAGTAGTCAGTGCTCTTAACCACTGAATCACCTTCCAGACCCTTGTTTTTTTTTTTTAAGTTCAAATGATGTTTCATAACTAATATGCACTGTCTTTCTTACACACTCAGAGAATCTGTTTATTTACTCTCCCCACATGGAAGGACAAATCACTGTCTAACCCACCCCATATTCTCACGATTGGATAGAACATAACTAAGCTAAGTAGTATTCAGTCTGTATCTTCTCTCTTCTAGAGGTGGTTGAGCATGCCTGTAGTGTGACATCCCTCATGCTGGGAGAGACCATGCCATCTATCACCAAAGACATGGACCTTTATTCCTACCGTCTGCCTCTGGGGGTGTGTGCAGGCATTGCACCATTTAATTTTCCTGCCATGATCCCCCTTTGGATGTTTCCTATGGCTATGGTTTGTGGAAATACTTTCCTTATGAAACCATCAGAGCGAGTGCCTGGAGCAACTATGCTTCTTGCTAAGTTGCTTCAGGATTCTGGTGCCCCCGATGGAGCATTGAACATCATCCATGGACAGCATGAAGGTAACTATTTTATGTGGCTACTTTTCTGACTCCCAAAGAAATTAAGGTGTTCATTATTGATTGGTAATTTTAATGTTTATTTATGTTCATGTGACTCTTTGTGTGTCTGTCACATATATGTGGGTACCCAAAGAGGCCAGATCAGGGCATTGGAGCTCCTGAAGCTGGAGTTTCAGGTGTCTGTGAGGTGCCCAGTTTGGGTGCTGAAAACTGAATTCATATCCTCTGGAAGAGTGAGAAGCATTCTCAACCACTGAGCCATCTTTCCAGCTCTGTGACTGGGGAGTCTAGGATGAGGAAACTAGCAAGGAAGGATTTACTAATAGTAACCTCCATGTTTTAAGGTCATGTGTCTTAACCGTCTTGCCATTTGGACAGGTTAAAGTAACTAACTAGGGAGTAGCAGTGTTCCTTACTCTATACTACATGTCAGGATACCCGACATGTATCCTGAACTAGGACCAGACAAAGATAAGATTAAAGAGAAAGTTCATTTTCTTGTTTAATATCTCAGCAGCCCTTTAAAGGAGGTACTATTTTTCACCTTACAGATGTGAAAATGAAGTCAGAATGCAATTAAGTCATTTGCTCTAAGTAACACTACCAGAAAACAGGAAAATTAGGATATGTCTATCCAGGAAGGCTGGCTCTGATTCTTACTTTTAAATAGTGTACCCTATCAATAACTTCTTGCATGAGGGTCTAAGTATCTGAGAATCTTAGACATAACATATTCTTAAAGGATAAAATGAAAAAATTAAGTTTTGAAGGAATATTATTTTATTTTAGGAAAATAGAAATTGTAGTCTTTATGGACTGTCAGAATGGATCAACATGTAAAGGCATTTGACAAATAAGCAAGATTCCTGGAAACCATGTAAAGGTGGGAGGAGAAAACCAATTCCACAAAACTGTCCTCTGATGTCTACATGCACAGAGAGACACACGTCATCACACACATGCACACAATAATAGAAATAAAGTTTAAAGAGATTATGACTTTCAGAGATTAGAAATGTTTCCATTTAGAAGTGTTTCTAAAATACTAATAAGAGTAAATAACAAAAAGAATTTGTAATTTAAAGGCAGGTGTAAAGGCACATGACTGTCAAAACAGGATTTGGGAGACAGAAGCCAGTGGATCTCTGCAAGTTTGAGACCAGCCTGGTCTAGTGAGCTCTAGGCCACTAGTCGGGGTACATAGTAAGACCCTGTCTCAAAAATGAAACTAATTGTAATTTAAGGGAAATAAAAGCACATCACAGTGAGATTTCCATATAGATATGTATGAATGTTAATTCACAGTCTGAGGAAGGGGTGATTTGCTGTGTTGATAAACCTATAGGCTTCTTTATGGTAATAATTTATTTTCTTTTTAAAGCTGTAAATTTTATTTGCGACCATCCAGACATCAAAGCAATCAGCTTTGTGGGCTCCAACCAGGCAGGAGAGTACATCTTTGAAAGAGGGTCAAGAAATGGCAAGAGGGTTCAAGCCAACATGGTAATTTCTCATTCCTTTGACTCCTCACGCTTGGCTGTGTGTATATGGAAGAGCTAGGGATTGTCCTCAGTAGTCAGGCCACGCATTCCATGTCCCATGGAGGCCAGCATTCGTCACTTCATCCTGACTGTCTTCCCCTTAGTCCCTGAACCTTGTGAAGTTTAATTCTGTTGTGGTGACCATCTTTTATGATATACAATTAATCTTGGTAACAAAGGACATATTGTTAACTCAAAAATGTTACTCAAATTCTTTAGTCTTCAGCATTAACAGCCAAAATTTTCTTTCTAGATCTTATTTCTTGCTTCTTTTAAAAGTGTACCCTAACTATTGTTGATATGGCTTAAAAATATGATAAAGATACACTTATCCCTGACGTTATTTATCGTTACAACAACCAGTTTGTTAAGGGACTGGAAAGGGACCAGGTCACATAGGTTCATGTCCTCGTATAATACATGGTTTACCGAGTCACATAGGTTCATGTCCTTGTATAACACATGGTTTACCGAGTCACATAGGTTCATGTCCTCATATAATACATGGTTTACCGGGTCACATAGGTTCATGTCCTCATATAATACATAGTTTACTATTTTTTTGTTTTGTTTTGGTTTGATTTTTTGAGACAAGGTTTCTCTGTGAGTCCTGTCTGTCCTGAAATTCACTCTGTAGACAAGGATGGCCTCAAACTCAGATATTCTCCTGCCTCTGCCTCCTGAGTGCCAGGATTAAAGGTGTGCACCACCACTGCCCAGCTTCTACTAGTCTCTTAACCTGTCAATTTGAAAGTAACAGCTTCCCCTCTCCCCCACCATCTTGTAAATGGCTTTGACCTAAATAAATACATATCAGTTTCTCAAGGATATTAAAATAAGTGGAGCCCTATTTAGTATTGCTTAGATTTCAGCAGTATGAAAAATAATCTCTGGCCAGTGCTACAGAGTAAGTTTAATACTAGCTTTGGCAACCCAGTGAGACTCTGTCTCAAAGTAAAATGTTTTAAAAAAAAGACACCGGGCGGTGGTGGCACACGCCTTTAATCCCAGCACTTAGGAGGCAGAGGCAGGTGGATCTCTGTGAGTTCGAGGCCAGCCTGGTCTACAAGAGCTAGTTCCAGGACAGGCTCCAAAGGCACAGAGAAACCCTGTCTCGAAAAAAAAACAAACAAAAAAAAGAGATATACCTCAGTGGCTAACATTTTCTTGGCATGTATGAGACCTAGGTTCAATTCCCAATACTGCAAAATTTTTTTAAAAAAAGCCATTTTAATCTTTGTTCAAAGTAACAAAAGATACAGTCTTTCCTTAAATTCTCATTTTATATATCAGATTCTTTGCCTAAGTCTGGCTTAACTTAATTAATTTAGCTAAGAAGACCTGTCCACTTTTCACATTTTTTTAGGGTGCCAAAAACCATGGGGTAGTCATGCCAGATGCCAATAAGGAAAACACCCTCAACCAGCTGGTTGGGGCCGCATTTGGAGCTGCTGGCCAACGCTGCATGGCTCTTTCAACAGCCATCCTTGTAGGAGAAGCTAAGAAGTGGCTGCCAGAGCTGGTGGAGCGTGCCAAAAATCTGCGAGTCAATGCAGGTAACCAGTCACCTGCCAGGTAACTAGACTTTGCTTCCCTGGCACTGACTTCTTAGATCTGGCATTGGCTTTGCCCAAGGGAGCAGTTCTGTACACTTCTACTGCTGCCTCTCTTAAACTCCACTTGTCATTCAGAGATATTTCAGAGAATTTTTTGTTAATACCAACTTTGGACCCTTCTGCTTGTTCTATAGGAGACCAGCCCGGAGCTGATCTTGGCCCTCTCATCACCCCCCAGGCCAAAGAGCGAGTCTGCAGTCTGATCGACAGTGGAACAAAAGAGGGGGCTTCCATCCTTCTGGATGGACGAAAAATTAAAGTTAAAGGCTATGAAAATGGTAACTTTGTTGGACCAACCATCATCTCCAATGTCAAGGTAAACAACTCTGGATTATTTCACAAATGCCAAAGCTGAAAACACCTTAGAGGCTCTGGAATCTCTAATTTACAAGTGAAGACTATAACTCTTGCCAGGATTGCTCAGTTATTCTGTCTGAAAGCTAAATACGTCTCCCTGACTTCCAACCAGAGCGCTTTTCAATGGACTGCACATGTCCTGCCTTGTTTTCTATTGCTGTGATAAAACATGACTAAAAACCACGTAGGGGAAGAAAGGGTGTATCTCTTTTTGTTCCAATCACATGCCAATCTGATGGAGGTAATTCCTCAGTTAGGGTTCCTTCATCCCAGGTGACTGGAATATGTCAAGATGACACAAAGCCAACCAGTATGGCAGACTCTCCCTGGAAAGCGAAATATCCTCGGCTTTGTGAAATGCGGGCTGTCACAGCTATTCTGGTGCCCAGTATAAAATCAACCACAAGCTTGTGGCTGTGTTCCAGTAAAATTTTATTTATGGACATACACTTGGACTTTATAATTTTATATCATGAAATAGTCTTCTGAATTTTTTCCTAACCATTAAAAAAAAGGTAAAAACTATGATTAGCTGTGGGCTATATAAGAATAAGCAGCTGCCACATTTGGCCTACAGGCAGTAGTTAAAACCCTTCGTGTTACATTTCCCTTCCCCACTTGCTCATAGCTACTGTAGTGCCTCATTCAATATATTAACTACCCAGGATTTATAGACTATCTTACCCATGCCCAAAAGTTAATTTCATCTTTACCAAAATGAAATAGAAGAAAAAGATATCATCAATCTTTATCAAAGTTTGAAAGTCTCTCAGCTAACATTCATGATGAAATTGAGGCAGGCTTTTTGTTGTATATCCTCACTAATCCTGAAAGATCACAGGTTGAAGTTTCTTGCCACAGAACAGCAGAGGAGAAACTTATTGGCAACAAATACAGTTGGTTAGGTATAATGGTGAAGGATGTTTTGAATGTTTAACTAGAAACCCAGTATCAAAATTGAAGACTTATTTGAAAGCAAAGGAATGAATGAGAATGGGTATTTTGTTATAGAGCATTCAGCGAGGAGTTTCTAGAAAAGTTCTGGTGTACTTAATATATGTTTGACTTTTAAAAATGACTTTTTATGTAACCTTCATTAACAACTTACAAAACAAGTTGTGCAAACATTAAAAAGAAAGCTGGTGATGGGTCTTAAACTTGAAATAGGGTACTGAAGAGCAAAGAATGCAAGGATTCCAAGATATTTATATAATGGGAGCTCCAAAGGTTTCTCCCTTCTGGACAGAAGTAAGAGATGATGGAAGATTACTAGCACAGAAGCTGCTTTTGGAGTCAGGGGCCAAAAATGTAAAAATACTCCATTTAAAAGGCTGACTTCTCTCTGGATCCATCTCTCCTGACAGCCAAGTATGACCTGTTACAAAGAGGAGATTTTTGGCCCAGTTCTTGTGGTTCTGGAGACAGACACACTGGATGAAGCCATCAAGATTGTAAATGACAACCCATATGGAAATGGAACTGCCATCTTCACCACCAATGGAGCCACTGCACGAAAATATTCTCACATGGTGGATGTTGGACAGGTCTGTGAATGGAATTTTTGAAGATTCTTACAACTAAGAGAACAAAACAGTACGCAATGATCAGCCAGCTGCAACTTGTTTGAAGATTGCACCTTTAATTGCCCATAATTCCCCATCCTTTCCTCAGTAATAAAAATTCTTAGGGTGAAGCACAGGGTGCAAGATGACTACTCAAAATTGCTATCTCCAAAAAAACCAAACCAAGCAAAATCTAAAATCCAAAGAGAAAAATAAAATTGATCTCTGTAGTCTTTGTGCTTCTACATGGACACTCTGTGGGTTGAGCTGTGATCAGTACTTGATGTGCGTTTGTTCTCTTTAGGTGGGAGTGAATGTCCCCATTCCAGTGCCTTTGCCAATGTTTTCCTTCACTGGCTCTCGATCTTCCTTCAGGGGAGACACCAATTTCTATGGCAAACAGGTAACTTCTGAGTTGGAATTCTCTTTTCCTTTGAGAAACTTTCTTGAACATCTTCAGAGCAAGATTACATAAGGAAGGACTGGCTGGCAGCTGCTGTGGCATCATCTTTTCTACTCTGTTGCAAAGGCCCCTTAAAAAAGATTTAATAGTTAACAAAATTTTGCCAACCCTGTCTCTTCATGAGTAACTCAATGCAGCAGGTTTAGAGAAAAGAGTATAAGGAAATCCAAATCTCTGTATAGATCATCTCTTCTTTCTGTGACCCTCTGTCATCTAAATGACATTTGACTATTTAGCATGTCTGGGCTTAAAGATCCTCAAGCTTATTCTTATACAATAAATTATCCATATATCAAGTGGGGTGAGACTGAGCATAGGTCTTGGATCTGTGCACTATTTTAGGTTTGACACTTTACATAATATAGTACATTATCACTGACTACTAGAAATAGAAATTGCTTAATACCAGTAACTTTGCCATGTTACTTCAGTTTCTCCTCATAACATCAATAAAAGGTGAGTTTATATCACAGACAGGGCTCAGGAGTTAGCCATAGTAAAGGGTAGAAGCAGGATTTGAGCAAAGTCTGTTGACCTTGCTTCTTAGTCAGCTTGGAAATAGAGTGGCCTGAAAATTTAACAAGATTACATTGCTCAGTTTTTCTGTTTTGATACCCTTATGCTTAAAATTCTAACTTTAGTATATTAATGATGTCTAAGGTTTGACTGTTTAGTATGTGGCAGATATTATGTCAAGTGTTTTTATTATTTAATTCTTTGTGTATGAGATGGAAAGGGCTATCCATTCGGAGTTTAGAAGACGACCTTAGATGTCGACCCTGCCATCTCGACTCCTTGTTTACCAGACTAGCTGGCCCTTGAGCTGCAGAGAGCCTTCCATCTCACCATACAAAATTACTGAAGCTTGCTACTGTACCTGACTTTTACAGGGTTCTGTAAATCTGAACTCAGGTCCTAATGTGACAACTGCTTTACCCACAAAGACATCTTCCCAGACTTACTTTTTTGGAGACATGGTCTTATATATCCTTAAGATGGTCTTCAACTTACTGTTGTAGTTAAGGATGACCTTGAACTTCTGATCCTCCTGCCTCTACCTCTTGAATCTTAGAATTATAGTCATGTAATACCATGCCTGGTTTATTCCATGTTGAAGATTGAATCCAGGGCTTCATGCATATTAGACAAGCATTCTACCAATTGAGCTATATCCCAGCCCCATAAATGTGGTTTTATTTTGGAGAGGGTTGTTTTAATTTTATATATACAGGTATTTTGCCCACATACATGTCTGTGTACTATGCTTGTGACTGATTCTCTCAGAGGCCAGAAGAGGGTGTTGGATTCCACTGGAACTGGAGATACAGGTTATTGTGAGCTGCGAACTGGGTACTGGGAATCAAACCTGGGTCCTTTGCAAGAGTGGCGTTGCTATTAATAGCTAAGCCATCTCTCTATACCCCCATAACTGGTTTAGGTAGTCTATCTCATGAACATTGGATTTTGTTGCACCAATCACTCAAATAGGAACCGAGTATTTTAGCATCACCTTCAAAATTAATTTGAAGTTATATCCTCCTAGAAGTATACACTGACTTTTTTTTTTTTGTCCTTTTTAGGGCATCCAGTTTTACACTCAGCTAAAGACTATCACATCTCAGTGGAAAGAAGAGGATGCTACTCTTTCCTCACCTTCTGTAGTCATGCCTACCATGGGGCGTTAGAAGCAAGTTCTTCAAGACTCAATACAATCTGAGTCATTTCCCGTCATTCTTGGCCACCTTCACTTGCCATCTTTGCTCAAATCAGATCCATGATAATGAAATATGTTGCAACTAACTCTTTCTCAGAACTGCCAGTCTCTTCAAAGTAATAAGGAGACTGCAGGGAAACACTAATGCTGGGTCTGCACTTGCTCTTTGTACTTCTGTTCTGGAGGTAACTTGTAATTGTGAAATGCTTACCTGGAGTGAGGGCTGAGAACTGTCTTCTCACAGTTCTTCTGATGACTTGGGGAGGAATGCCAGTGTAGGGACAGAGCTCCCAATAATTGGAAGAACTCTTGGATAGGGAAATAGGAAGTAACAGTTCACCCTCAGGTTGAGCCTCAAACACAGTCCTCCATCGATTCTCACACTTTGCTTTTTCTTATCCCAACATTGTGACAACTGCTGCTTCTCTGATCAATGCCACTTTCTTCATGTTTAGATTCATGACCACTACTTAATACTATTATTGTCCATATTCTTTTCTTAAAATACTTCTTAAAGATACCTCAGGACGCAAATTATATGTTAGCTTTTTGTTATGTGTGCCATGTTTCATGGTTCGCTTCAGCAATCATTAATCAATACTCTAGCCACTAATACAGATGCAAATAAATCCTTAGAAAAATTATTTCACAAGTTATTTTTTTACCCAGAAATCAAAGAATGTTCCAGTCATGAAAGTGGATAAGATTCTTTGCCTTAAACAAACCTAACCTAGGGGGCTGGAGAGATGGCTCAGAGGTTAAGAGCATTGCCTGCTCTTCCAAAGGTCCTGAGTTCAATTCCCAGCAACCACATGGTGGCTCACAACCATCTGTAATGAGGTCTGGTGCCTTCTTCTGGCCTGCAGGCATACACACAGACAGAATATTGTATACATAATAAATAAATAAATAAATATTTTAAAAAAAAAACCTAACCTATTTTTTATTTGCCAAAATTTGTTATTCTTTCTTTTGCCAGCATTTCTCATTAGTTGATACTTTTTAATGAAAGATCTATTCATATAGAATAATTGATTGGGCTACAAGAAACTTACGACTTTCTATACTTTGACAGTATTTGGCCATCACTTCTTCAACTGTCTTTCAACTTGCTTCTCTGATAATCTAAGCCTTAAGTCAGAAGGGGCTTCTGTGCTGAATAGAGTAGTTTCTGGCTGTCTGACCTGTCTGAAGCCCAGCTTTCTCAACTAGATGCCTGCTGGCTCTGCTAGGTTAATCCTCAGTGCTGAGTGAGCTGTGGTACCAGTCATTTATTTTACTCTGTTCTGTACAGTCACGTGGACAGTGCTGCTCTGGTCCATCGGGTTATTTGGTGAGTTAAAATAAAGGTGGTGAAAAACCTTGAAAATTCCTACTCTGTGGGCATAAGATTATTAGTGTATCCTCATCTGGTAGAATTCAGAGCCTTCAATCACTTTAACTAAACACAACTCTGATTTTTTGTTTTCCATCCTAAAGTCAAGTAGAAATTTGTAGTTTGTGATTATAATGCCCTGTGTTTTCTTAAAAAACACAGTTCATACCTAATTCAATCCAACAACTTTGGGCTGGGTTGAAAAGTGGTTATTATCTAAATTCCAAACAAAATTTAATCACAATAAATCCTAATATTTTTGTTAAATATAAAGGAAGGTACTTTTAAAAACTACCAACTAATCAAAACTGTGTTACTCTAATTAGAATCAACTGATTTAGGCAGCTACTTATGCTCAAAGAATTTGTTTCTTAGATGAAATCTACAGTTCTATTCAGGTTAGTATCACTAAAACAGAGAACCAGCATTTTCCTTTTTATTCTTTTATGATCTCATTTGAGTTTTGTCAGATTATGTTCTGATTATGAATAACCAAGTACAAATAAAAAGTCCTTAAGGAAAAAAAAGCCCTTGGAAAAATGGCCTTTTTCTTCCTTTGTTCTCCAGGTTACAGTGATTTCTGTGTCTGATATATGTTCAAAGCCAAGAACTGCAAGGATATTCTATCTGTGCTCCTATAAAAACAGGAGGGCTGAGTGTTAGCTCCACAGGGAGGCGCAAAGGTTCATTCACCAGCACTGAAAACAGTAACACAATATACATTTTGACTAAGCCACCAATTTCAGAAAGAAATCTATAGATTCTTCAGGTATATATAATATGCCTTATTAATATGAACATTGTTATAAAATTTTCTATGGTCTCTTCCTTAAGAGCTGCTTGGGTAGTAGAGAACTGTGAACTAGCAAGACATCATATAGTGAACGGTAACAGTGGTGTATTCTCTGATTAGATAGCAGATTCCTTACTCTGTCAGAGTCCTGTAATCCATTGGAATCTGATACTGGAACTTGCTGGGTGATGAAGGTTTGATCTGGAAGGTTAATTTCATCCCTATAATGACAAAATAGTGCTGTCAACAGTCATACATGGAATTTGGTTCAGAACAACAGACTTCCTAAATCGTTCTCACTTAACTCCAGCTATAAAATCCACAAGGGACACTGCAATCAGGCTTTTGTTCATAACTCTGGTAGGAGAACTCTTACCCAGTTTCTTTCATTTCTCCACTGTCGGGAATAATATGGTCTGGAACAGGAGGCTTAGAGCTCTGGTTGTATTTCCTGTGATGGATAAACATCAATAAACAAATGAGGCAATGTCTCCTTGTGCCTTCCTATTTCAATACCCTTAAAATGAGTCAAGTTTCAGTTAGATAAGGTTTCCATTTTAAGAATGAGTTTTATACACATGATATATATATATATATATATATGCACACACATATATAAATAAAACAAGTATATAAAATACATATAAATAAATATATAAGCAAACATATAATTTATTTTGGTTTTGGGTTTTGTTTGTTTGTTTGTCTTTGTTTTTTTAAGACAGGGTTTCTCTGTGTAACAGCTCTGGCTGTCCTAGAACTAAGTAAACCAGGCTGGCCTTGAACTAGCCTCTGCTTCCCAAGTGCTGGAATTAAAGGCATGCGCCACCATTGCCTGGATAAAATGTGATATATTAAGTAATGGAATATAATAGCTTAGAGTTGAGACATGTTGAATTCCAGAAATAAATATCTATGGAGAGAACCGTAATGGAGGTCCTCATGGACAGTGAGTAACTAACGGCAAGGCTGAACGAGAGAACCCATGAAACACCCAGCAAGTTCCCTTCCCACAGTGGATCTATGGGTAAGAGTACTTGCTGCAAAAGCAAGAAGACATGAGTTCAAATCTAGCATTTGGAGGAGGACACAGGTAGATCCTGGGAACTAAACAACAAAAAAGAATTTATGTCAAGTGAATGGTTTTCAGTTGTTCTGAGACAGGGAGAGCTGGCTTCCAGTTCAACATGAGCCTAAGGATGAACTGAACTCCTGATCCTCCTTCCACCTCTGGAGATAAGAGGAATTTTATAAAGGTATGAAGCCTAGATTAGGGAATCTGTCTTCATTGTGAAGGTCAAGAAAGTTCTGACAAAGGAAAAGCTTGAGCCAATAATACCCAAGGTTAACATACAGAAAGGGTAAAGAGCAACTTCAGGGCACATATAAACACAGACACACACAGACTCTCAGGACACAGAAGTTAGCCAGTGGTAACAGGTGCAAAATACTTCAGAAAGTGTAGGAATGTAGTTGATTCATTATTCTGAATGAGTGAGTTTATAGAGATCAAGTGCTATGGAATAATCTTTCGGTACACTATGAAGATATATTACTCTCATTGGTTAATAAAAAACTGACTGGCCAGTAGCCACACAGGAAGAATAGGTGGGACAGCCAAATTGAGAATGCTAGGAGAAAGAAGGGTAGAGTCAGTGGAGTTACCAAGAAATACAGAGAGAACAAGACATGCTGAGGACAGGTAAAGCCACAAGCCACATGGAAATACATAGATTAATAGAAATGGGTTAATTTAAGTTGTAAGAGTTAGTTAATAATAAGCCTGAGCTATTGGCCAAGCATTCATAATTATATTAAGTCTCTTGTAGTTATTTGGGGGCGACTGCCAGAATATAGGAAAACTCCCCCTATAATAAAGAATATCATATGTTGACTTCCCAAGAAAGTCACATATGCCACTCCTAAACTTGACTTAAGCAAGTATGAAGAAAACAGCATATACTTATTCAAATGGTGGTGATATTAAATACTCTAGTAGTTAAACATGAAAGAAATCCTTAGTAAAACACTAATAGTGCCTAAGTGATTGCTAAGTCATTTATTTTAGCTGTTTACTGTTTATACTCTAATGTAGGTCAATTACAAAATACTCTATTGTTGAATTCACAGTTATACATAGTCAATTGTGAACTTTTACTAAGTTCCTAATTATTACTATTCTTACTTGGAGGTGGAGGCAGATCAGGAGTTCAAGACTAGCCTTGGTGATAAAGTGAGACAGAAGCAACCTGAGCTACATGACACTCAGCTACAAAACAAACAAACATCAGCCTAAAATAATTTGTTCATCTCTGCAAACCAATATAGGCTCAACAGTTAAGTTTTCCTGAAGGTGGGGCTGGAGAGATGGCTCAGTGGTTGGGAGCACAGGCTGCCCTCCCAGAGGTCCTGAGTTCAATTCCCAGGAACCACAGAGTTTTTCATAACCACCCGTAATGAGATCTGGTGCCCTCTTCTGACCTGCAGGTGTACATGTAGGCAGAACACTGTACATAATAAATAAATCTTTGAAAAAAAAAGTTTCCCTGAAGGTGCTGGCCATTCAGCATCAGTGATCCTTAGGAAGCATCACCTTAAATGTCTGAGATTTATTTTCTCTCTCCCATTTCCACATTAAACACAAGGTTAATTTCATCCCTATATTGACAAAATAGTGCTGTCAACAGTCATACATGGAATTTGGTTCAGAACAACAGACTTCCTAAATCGTTCTCACTTAACTCCAGCTATAAAATCCACAAGGGACACTGCGATCAGGCTTTTGTTCATAACTCTGGTAGGAGAACTCTTGTTTTTGTGTTTATTCGTTCATCTCCCAGTCTTTGTCTATAAGAGTTGCAACAGCTGAGCAAGTAGCTTCCTGGTCCTTCAATGTATTTCTGTAATTCTCAATAGCAATACAGTCATTGTTCCCATGTGGCTTCTAGGTTTGATAACTTGACATTTCATTACAAGAATGGGAAATTACCTCGAAGCAAAACCATTCATTTTTGCGAAGAGCAATCTTAAGACTTTCTCCTTTTGCTCCCAGGTCAAATCTCTAATATCCACATTTTTTTGAGTACTTGGCCTGAAGAATTTAAAAAAAAAAGTGAAAATGTGACCAAAGCAAACTGACAATATATGATTTCAAAGCAAACTATGCACATTACAAAATTATAAATTGAAAAGGATCATCAGCACGCTAGCCAATGCAAAATGTTCTGTTGTCATGAAGTGAAGTGAGAAACACACATGTACTGTGATCTAAACTGGCAGGTTATAGTGGGCAGACTGCAGTGCTGAAGAGAACCTGAATGTACCTCTGATACAGTCTATGCTGCCTCAGATATTCCACTTCCTATGGTAGGAGCAAATCTTTAGATATTTTGAAAGTTTTGAGACTTTTGGTTAGTAGTGATGCAGGGGGCACTATTGAATGCCCTCCAATCCATGGAACATTTCTGCATGACAGTAGTTACAAAGAATTATATTTATTTTTTAAAAATTATATAATTGTTGTTACCTATTAATTTTATCTCAAAATAGTAAAGGAATAGCATAAAAGAAACTGAAAAGTATGCTTAGTAAAACTGTTTAAACTAGCCTGATGTGGTGATGACGCATGCCTTTAGTCCCAGCACTCGGGAGGCAGAAGCAGGGAACCTTTGTGAGTTTGAGGCCAGCTTGGTCTACAGAGTAGTCCCGGAACAGTCAGGGCTGCATAAGAGAGACCCTGTTTCAAGAAAAAAAAAAAGTTTAACCTAATCTAATAAAGATTTTTCAACAAATTTCCAATTTATAAAAACGAAGATAAAGAAAGTAAAAGACATTATCACAATGATGTCACTAAGCACAAAATAATGGCCACCTTTACAGATGTCTGTCATGAGAGAAGTGGGGATGGCTGCTAAGAACACATACAGCCTACACACTATGCCAAGTACAGATAAGTCAGTTCCTGTCCTCAAGTAGCTTACTATGAAATCTGTCCAACAGACTGAATCTGCTCTTTTCTAGAGGAAAGAAGACAAGCTGTAGCCCAGGCCAGGAATTTCTGTCTGTCCTGTGCTAGGACCTGCTGAGTTCTCCTTTTTTTTCTTTTTAAAGGATAAGAAAACAAGTACACAAAAAGACAATATATTACAGTGTCATTAGTACCATTTTTCAGCCTCCATGAGATCCTGATTCACACTATTGGTACTGTGCTCTTTGCCATCAAAGGTCCTGATTCTGGGATATTCCGTTCTTCCCGCACATGCTGTTCTCATTTTTAAATTGAAAGCAGCTTGTGCTATCTGCTTGTACTGCTTCCTGCTGGCGAGAATCTGCTCCTTCACTTGGTAGAGAGCATCGAGAAAGAACTGTTCCACTTCTGTCCTCTCGTCCAGGATGTTCTTAGCCAGCTTCTTCACGCGATTCATTTCCCTGTCCTTCATCTCAAGAAGCTGCTGCAGCTTGTCAATTTCTACCTGACCTGCTTGGTTCTCTATAATTGCCTTTTGCTGCAGTTTCAAAACTTCAGCCTCAAACTCCGTGGTCATATAGGTCAGAGCGTTCTCCAAGCTTACTACCTTCTTCTGAAGAGTTTGGATTTGTGATTTCTGCTGGGTAAGTTGCATAATCTTTTCCTTAACCAATAGCTCGTTGATTTCCTAAAAAGCAGAAAGTAAGGTTTTTTTTTCTTTAAATATTCTAGAACTTAAAAGTCCCTCAATAATTTTTTAAAATTTTATTTCTTCATATTTTATGTATGAGTATTCTGCATGTATACCTGCACACAAGAAGAGGGCATCAAGTCCTATTACAGATGGTTGCGAGGAACCATGTAACCGGTTGCTGGGAGTTGAACTCAGGACCTCTAGAAGAGGAGCCAGTGCTCTTAACTGCTGAGCCACCTCTCCAGCCTCCCTTAATACATTCTGTTACCTAAGGGGATCTGAGCTTCGTGTTAGGCTGAGGCAATTATTTTCATATCTCTGTGGGCAGAAAAACATCTTTAGATCCTTGCCTAGGCTTGTGAAAGCAATCCGCTGATTTTAGGAAACTTACAAACTTCCTCTATAATTCCTTTTCCCCCTTTTTTTCCTGCCAGAAGAGGGCACCAGATCTCATTAGAGATAATTGTGAGCTCATTAGAGATGATATGGTTGCTGGAAATTGAACTCAGGACCTCTGGAAGAGCAGCCAGTGCTCTTAACCACTGAGCCATCTCTTCGCCCCGCCTCTATAAGTCTTACAAGGTTACATATTTTATATTATTAAAACAATAACATTGTGCAAAACCACTGGCAAGTCTATAAAGAAAACTGTAGCAGATTCCTAGTTGTCTATCCTAATGTTCATTTTTTTTCCCTCCCTCAAGTCAGTTGAAAATTCCAGGGTCTCTTGCAGTTCAGAAAGGACAGGTAGGTTGCAATAGAAGTGAACTTTTGGGCTTGTTTTTGTTTTTTGTTTTTTGTTGTTTTTTTGTTTTTTTGTTTTTGTTTGTTTTGGTTTTTTTTTTTTTTTTTTTGCTTGCTTGCTTTTCTCCCCCAGACAGAGTTCTCCAAGTAGCCCTGCCTGTCCTTGAACTCTTTCTCTGAACACCAGGCTGGCCTAGAACTCAAGAGATTCATCTGCTCTGCCTCTCAAGGGCTGGAATTAAAGGTGTGTGCCATCACCACCCAGATGAGATATAAGAAATAGGACACCTGGAAAGATTTTTTAACAGAGCCATTTTTTGTTGTTTTGTTTTTGTTTATCTTCCCTCCTGTTGTCTGGAGTAACCTTTAGGTCTCTTGTCAGCCACCCTGGCTATAAGGTACTCAACATACACAAACACTAAAATGAAAAAATGTTTAAGAGAAGGGTTGGAAAGATGGCTTGGCAGTAAAGAGCACTTGCTATTTTTGTAGAGGAACCAGGTTTAGATCCCAGCATTCACATGGCGGCTCACCACTGTCTGTAACTCTAGTCCCAGAGGATCTGAAATCTTGCATGCACATGGTGCACAGACATGCATACAGGCAAAACAACCACACACAAGAAATAAAAATACAACTTTGCTGGGCAGTGGTGGTGCACGCCTTTAATTCCAGCACTCGGGAGGCGGAGGCAGGCAGATCTCTGTGAGTTCGAGGCCAGCCTGGTCTACAAGAGCTAGTTCCAGGACAGGCTCGAAAGCTACAGAGAAACCCTGTCTTGAAAAAAAATACAACGTTTTCCAATGTTAATAATATAAGCGATATGTTACAGAAAATTAAATAAGACAATCCTGATCTGAATTGCTTTCTTTCAAGCATCCTTTAGGATGCTTTATGTTGTGATACCACTAATGTGAGGTCGGTTACAGCCAAACCAATTCCTAAATGATTTAGGATCCAACAATAAACAAAACAAAATGAGTATTCTAAGGTATTAGAGGAGGAGAGGATAAGAATTAGTTATTATTTCTGATGTATTTGCAAAATGATGGCTAACATGTCAAAAAATCATTTAGTAATTAATCTTTTCAAATACAATTATCAAGACAGAAGGAAAACAGTACTGCTGCCTCATCTATCATTATTATACTCAATTCTTGGTATTTACCAACATAATCCTTAAAAAGAAAAAGAACGAAAATCTAAATGAGAGTGGGAACCTTTTGATGTAAAAGGCAGGAATGACTTTCTTGTAACTTCTTGGAGTTTTTCTGTCGCACTTCAGCTTCCTTCAAGTGGTAAGTAAGCGCCTTGTGAAGATACACGTTCTCTTTGAAAACATTTCTCCCAGCACTGTTCAACTGCCTGAAAGATATTTAGATTTAAGAACCCAAAATATAGGCCCAAGTTTCTTGTATGTGGCGGGGGGTTGGGGGGGTGAGTAAGGGTTACTCTATGTAGACCAGGATGGCCACAAAATCACAGAGATCCATCTGCCACTGCCTCTGGAGTGCTGGAATTAAAAGTAGGCATCACCACATCTGGCTCATGCCTGCGTTTTAAGTACTAGAGAACAATGTCAGCTTTATCCTCCACACGTTATACTGACCACCACTAGGCCGGGCATGTAGGTGAGCGAGAGAATACTTGCTTAGCATGTGAAATTCCCTGGAATTAACTTCGAGCACCAGAGTCTGGGGGAGAGCAGAACACCAGACACATATGACACTACCACAATTTAGCCTGTGAGTAACTACTCAATAGGTAGATGGTGACCTTGTGACTAAGTTCTTCCTCAGCAATAAGTAAAAACCTATGTGTTAGCTGGCCATGATGATACAAGTTGTTTGACAACTTGAGCTATAGCAAGAATCTGTCTCTTTAAAAACAAAACAAAACAAAAAAACTACGAATCGTGGCATACCTTTAATCCTAGCTATTCAGGAAGCTGAGCAGGAGGCTGACAAGCCCATGGCCTGCTTGGGCCACCTATCCTGTACAAGGCTGGCCTTGGCAATTTAGCAAGACTGTTTCAAAAAGTGAAGGGAGCTTTAGGGTGTAGTTCAGCAGTAGAATGGATGTGCACGCCTGGGTTTTCAATCTCTAGCACCTCACACGCAGTAATGTGGCACCAGTTTCCCATGCCCTCCTCTATCCATGTCATATGATGACCTATAGAACTCCACGGTCACAGAGGGACAAGATGGAAGCAGCCCAAGTTCCTGCATCACCATATGAAGAAAGCTGCCAGACTCATCATTACATTAACAAGAAATAAACCATCAAGACCTGGGGTTCATTGTTAACATAAACACACTCTAGAATTATTACACACACACACACACACATACACACACACACACATACACACACACACATATATATATATATAATCTGACAATTCCACAAAGTTGCTCAATGGCCTTACTTTGGGTGTGTTTGTAATGGTCTTACTGTGCAGTCTAGGCTGGCTTAGATAGGTGACGCTCCTCCCTCAGCCTCCTAAGTACTGGGATTATTTTAAGTGTGTGCCACCATATCTGGATGGCCTATTTTTTTTTCATGAAATTTATTTTCTTAAGAATTCTTCCAACAAGACAGGTAATCCTAGCACTTGGGAGGCAGAGGCAGGTGGATCTCTGTGAGTGTGAGGCCAGCCTGGTCTACAGAGTAGTTTCGGGACAGCCAAAGCTACACGAAGATACCCTGTCTCAAAAAAAAAAAAATATTCCAGTGAGGCCAGTGAGATAGCTCCATGTTGGTAGAGGCACTTGCCATCAATCTAAATGATCTGAGTTCTATCCCTAGAAACGTGATGGAAGAGAGAACCAACTTCCTGCTAGTTATCTGACTTCCACACTCAAATTATGGCACTACTATACCCTCAAATATGCCTACCTAAATAAATAAATAAAATAATTTAAAAAGTAAATTTCCCAGTAGTTAATCAGCATGCATGTAGGTAGTCAGGATATAACTTCAAAGACTAGGTTATTGCTACCATATCATGTTATGGAAAGGATGGAGCATAAAGGGTAGGGAATTATGAAGAGTATACAGGTAGACAAAAACATTTAAAGCAAGTTTGCCAAGAGACAAAGGAAGGTAAGAATAAAATGGAGGAAGCAACCGGCTCTTACACCACAGCTTCATGGTGGGCTCTCTCGGCCAGCATTACTATCCTCTTCTCAGCCTCTTGTTGCAGACGGTGCTAAAAAACACAATATGGGAGGCTTAAATACAAAATCATATTATATATAATTGATATTTATTGAGCTCTACATTTTTTCTGCTCCCCTCCCTGCCTCTCCCTTCCCTCCTTCAATCCCCCCCTCAAGGTCCCCATGCTCCCAATTTACTTAGATCTTGTCTTTTTATACTTTCTACTTCCCAAGTAGATTAGATCTATGTAAGTCTCTCTTAGTGTCCACATTGTGGTCTAACTTCTCTGGGATTGTGGTTTGTAGGCTGGCTTTCTTTGCTTTATGTTTAAAAACCACCCATGAGTAAGTACATGTGATAACTGTCTTTCTGTGTCTGGGTTACCTCACTCAAAATAATGTTTTCTAATTCCATCCATTTTCCTGCAAAATTCAAGCTGTTATTTTTTTCTGCTGTGTAGTACTCCATTGTGTAAATGTACCACATTTTTCTTATCCATTCTTCGATCAAGGGGCATTTCCAGGTTCTGGCTATGACAAACAAAGCTGCTATGAACATAGTCGAGCACATGTCTTTGTGGCACGATTGAGCATCCTTTGGATATATACCCAAAAGTGGTATTATTGGGTCTTGAGGAAGGCGGCTTCCTAATTTTCTGAGAAACCACACTGACATCCAAAGGGGTTGTACCAGCTTGCATTCCCACCAGCAATGCAGAAATGTTCCCTTTTCCCCACAACCTCTCCAGCATAAGTTGTCATCAGTGTTTTTGATCTTGGCCATTCTTACAGGTATAAGATGGAATCTCAGAGTTGTTTTGATTTGCATTTCTCTGATGACTAAGGATGCAAAACCATACTTCTAAAACAAATATTTCATATCACAAAATAATTACTTCAGCATCAAACAGAGTTCTTTGTTTGGGAGCTAGAGAGATACTTCAGTGTTTAAAAGCCCTCACTGCTCTTGCGCTGGACTGGGTTCAGTTCCCAGCACCTAAGTGGTGGTTCACAACAACTATGACTCTAATTCCAGGGATCTGACACTTCTTCCAACATCCATAGGCCCCTAAACATGCATATACTCGGGCACATACACATAAAATTAAATAGATTAAAAAATATTCCTGTTCACGTGACCTGATATAAAGAACTCTTAATTACTGATGAATGAAAGAGGCAGCAAAAAGGATAGTATGGGGTTGGAGGGAAGGCTCAGTGATTGAGAGCACTGGCTGCTCTTCTAGAGGCCTGGGGTTCAATTCCCAGCACACAATATGGCAGCTCACGGTTGTCTGTAACTCCAGTTTAGGGGAATCAATGCCCTCTTCTGGCCTTGGCACAAGGCACACAAGTGCACAAACACAGATGCAGGCAAAACACCCATATGCGTAACTATAAATAATTAAGAAATTTCTCACTGAGCCAGCAGTGTAACTATGATGGCTAGTCTTGGTTGTCAACTTGGCACCCCTGGAACAAAGGAGCCTCAATTAAAGAACTGTCTCTCTCAGATGGACCTGTGGTAATGTCTGTGGGGCATTTTCTGGATTGCTAATTCATGTAAGATGGCTGAGTCTGCTATGAGCCTGGGCTGAAAAAGAAAGATAGCTACCAGACTGAGCCTGGGAGCAGGCCAGTAAGCAGTCTTCCATGGTCTCTGCTTCGGTTTCTGCCCTCACTTCTCTCAAGGTTGTTCTGTGACCTGGGGGCTGTAAGATGAAATAAACTCCTTCCTTCCCTAGTTGCTTTTTCAGGATGATTAACAGAGCAACAGAAAAGCAAGCTACAATAATGGCATATCCATAAAGCAGGGAAGGAGACTTAGAAAGCAGAGCTGGAAGATGATTTGCTAAATGAAACATGATGAAAGTCACTCATTTTAAAATTGGGGAATGTGCAGGACATGATGGCACACACCTATAATAACCAGCACTCAGGAGGCAGAGGCAGGAGGAATCTCTGTGAGTTCAAGACAAACCAGCCTGATCTACATTTTGAGTTCTGGGTGAGTAAAGGCTGCATAGTGAGATCCCATCTCAAAACAACAACAACAAAGAAAAAAAAGAGGGAAATACCAAGGGAACTGAGGACTTAAGCCTTCACAAGTTGGCAGTCCCCCTTTTTTTTTTTTTTTTTTTTTTGAGACAGGGTTTCTCTGTGGCTTTGGAGCTAGCTCTTGTAGACCAGGCTGGCCTCGAACTCAGAGATCCGCCTGCCTCTGCCTCCTGAGTGCTGGGATTAAAGGCATGCGCCACCACCACCCGGTTTAGCAATCCCTCTTGAGGATATTTCAAGACTCTGACAGAAACAACCTAAATGCCTACCCACTAATTGGTGAATAGATGTGGTATATATATATATATATGAATGTTGAAATGCTGTTGTCATAAAAAAGAGTGAAATCTGGTCATTTCTGACAGCTTTACCAGAACTAGAGATCACTGTGCTAAGTGAAATAAGGCACAGAAAGGCTGTGTGATTTCCCTCAGAAGTATACTCTAAAAAGCTTGGTCTCTACCAGGCAGTGGGGGAAACTTTTAAACCCAGCACTCGGGAGGCAGAGACTGACCGATTTCTGTTAGGGGCCAGCCTGGTCTACAAAGTGAGTTCCAGGACAGCCAGGGCTACACAGAGAAACCATCTCAAAAAACAAACAAACAAACAATCAAACACAAAAGTTGATCTCTGGCTGAAAGTATAACTCAGTGTTAGAGTGCTTGCCTACCGTGTGTAATGTCCTATGTTTAATCACAGCACCACAAAATAGGTAAATAGATGTCTAAACTCATGGGAGTTGAGATTGGAATGGTAGTTATGGGGGCCTGGAAAAGTGAAGAGGGTGTCTTAGGGTTTCGGTTGCTGTGATGAAGCACCATGACCAAAACAACTGGGGAAGAAAAGGATTTATTTTGTTTATACCTCCATATCACAGTTCATCACTGAGAAAAGTCAGTGCAGGGACCTGGAGGCAAGAGCTAATACAGAAGTCATGGAAGATTGCTGGTTACTGACTTGCTGGCCAAGGCACACTCAGCCTTTCTTACAGCACTCAGGACCAGTAGACCAGGAATGGTATTGTAAAGATGGGCTGGGCCTTACCACATCCATTACTATTTAAGAAATGGCAAACAGGCTTCCCTATAGTATAATCTTAGGGAGGCATTTTCTCAACTAAAATTCCTTCCTCTCAGACTCTTAAGCTTATGTCAAGTTGACATAAAACTACCCACAGAGGGGACAGGATGGAGAAATGTAGATTTGGGCGCTAAGTTATAGTTACATATAAGCATGAGTTTCTGATGTGCTTAAGCAGCTTGAAAGTTGATAACAACACGTGATACGTTTCAAAAAACTAGAAGAAAATCTTTTGAAAGTTCCATCATAAATGGTACTTACATGAGGAGATACATATTCTTATTAATGGAGCATGATGTACATACCTGTAATCCCACCACTTGGAAAGTGCAACTGGGAAAATCAGAAGTTCAAGGCAGAGCCTCAGTAATAGAAAGTTTAAGGTCAGCCTGTGGCTACCTAAGACCTTATCTTAAAAGTAAGAAACAAGCCAGGTGGTGGTGGCAGCACACGTCTTTAATCCCAGCACTCAGGAGGCAGAGGCAGGCAGATCTCTTTGTGTTCCAGGCCAGCCTGGTCAACAAGAGCTAGTTCCAGGACAGGCTCCAAAGCTACAGAGAAACCCTATCTCAAAAAACAAAAACAAAACAAAAACAAAAACCCCATCAAAAAAGGTTAGAAATAAATTGAAAAGATATATTTAACTTTACTTAAATATTGTATAAGTACAGGCAGGAGGCTGAGTATAGAGCTTGTTTCTGGATAGCCAGGGCTACACAAAGAAACCCTGTCTTGAAAAACAAAAACAAAAAAAAAAAAGCATAAATATATTGAGAAACTTCATGGTACACTATTAGTATGTACAAATTTTATTTATTTTTTTATTTATTTATTGTTTTTTCAAGACACGGTTTCTATGTGTAACAGCTCTATCTGTCCTGGAACTTGCTTTGTAGAGCAGGCTGGCCTCGAACTCAGAGATCCGCCTGCCTCTGCCTCCTGACTGCTGGGATTAAAGGTGTGCAACACTACCACCAGGTCAAATTTGGTTTTTATGTATGAATTAAAAATTAAAGGAGCTGGGCAGTGGTGGCCCATGCCTTTAATCCCAGCACTAGGGAGGTAGAGGCAGTTGGATCTCTGTGAGTTCGAGGCCAGTCTGGTCTATAGAGTGAGTTCCAGGACAGGCTCAAAAGCTACAAAGAAACCCTGTCTTGAAAAACAAAACAAAAACAAAAACAAAAAAACAGGAAAAAATTAGACACTGGGAATTAAAGAATATAAAGATTTGTTTTTCCTCATTTGTATTCTATTTTCTTCTTTCTTTCTTTTTTTTTTTTGATACAAGTCTTAGCTCAGAGCTAGCTTTGGACTCAAGATCCTCCTGCCTCAACATCTTAAGTGCTACAATTATGGCTGCATACCACTACACTTACTTTCTGCTACTTGATAACATTTCCTAGATGATACCAAATGGAATGTTGGAATGCTCAGAATGCATATAAACATACTTTGTTCTAGTAAACAAAGCATTTCTTAACACTAATATTCTATACCTTTTCTTCAAAAAATCTGCTTTCTAGTCTTCTAAGAGTCTCCTGATGTTTTTTCTCTGAGTTTCTTAAATTTTCTTTCAGCTAAAAAGAGAGAAAAAAAATGGCTCAAATATTGAGTGGGACATATTCATAGAAAATCATGAAGATACATTGTATGTCATATATTCTTGAAACATAAACACAAAATCAATTGTCATCTCCTCTGAGCACATTTTCCTTAACTATCTATAGATTTACCAGATTGGATTGAGTTTCTTAAAGGCTTTCTATGAGTAACCATTCCCAGGGCATTGAGATATTTTCTCTTAAGATATATGAAATACAGAGTCACAAAATACATAGTCTGCAACTATAAAGATGATGACAGTGGACTAGGGAGATGGCTCAGCAGTTAAAATACTTCCAAGCAAGAGAAGCAGCTCAGAGCCCTAGAATTCCTGTGCATGACAGGTGGATGTGGCACCCACCTATAATTCCAGCTGGAAGATGAAAGACAAGGAATCCTCAGAGCAAACTAGCGAGGGAAGACTGGTTTTATCAGGAACTCAGGGTTTGATTGAGAGACTGCCTCAAAGAATAAGGTGAAAGACTGAGGAAGATTCCCTCCCACCGTAGGCCTCCACATACATGTATACACACACATTAACATAATACACAGATGCATAAGAAAAAGGGGAAAAAGAATAATATAATATCTCAGGCCCAGTGTGGTGGCACATGCCTTTAATCCCAGCATTTGGGAGGCAGAGGCAGGTGGATCTCTGTAAATTCTAGGCCAGTCTGGTCTACAGAGTAAGTTCCAGGACAGTCAGGGCTACACAGAGATACCCTGTCTCAACAAAAACAAAACAAAGAATAAAAAAAAAAAGAATCCCCATAAAAATATTCTTTTGGATGTGTCTATGAAAGTGTTTTTAGGAAGGTTCTGTGACTGATGAGATATCTAAGTGATTAAGAGCATTTAATATTTTTCCAGAGGTTTGGTTTCTAACACCCATGTTTGGTGACTTACAACTGCCTATAATTCCAGCTATAAGCAATCTGATGTCGTCTTTTGGCCTCTAAGGATATACAAACACAGATATACTTAACACACACACACACACACACACACACATCTTTTAAAATAGTCAAGGGAAGAACCACCCAAATGTGGGCAGCACTATTCAATAGTTTTGGGTCCAGGATTGAATATGAGAAAGCAAATGGAGTACCAGCATTTATCATTCTCTGCTTCTAACTGTGGGTGTGACCAGCTGCTTCACATTTTTTGAGGCCATTACATCCCCAGCATGATGAACTGCACTCAAATTGTAAACCAAATGTTGCTTTTGTCACAAGTATTTTTCACAAGGAGAAAAGTAACCAATACAGGTAAGATTTAAACAATACAAGTAAAGCGTTTAGCACAATAAACATTTAATGGCATAATGATATCTTCTCCTATTATAATCTGCTCTAATATACTAAATCTCCATTTTATTATTTCTTTCAGATCTTCTTTCTTACTGTTTGTATTTAACTTTTGAAATGGTTTATTTTGTCACACTTTGAAAATTAACGTCAACATGCCAGTTAATGTATGGTTCAAATATTCCTCACCCAGGTGTCTGGAGATGGAGCTCTGATACATCATAAGACTTCCCCAAATCTATATATCAATAAAAAATCTTTCAAAAGATAATTAGTGGGGTCAACAAAATGGCTTAATGGGAAAAGGTACCAAGGAGTCACACAATGGAAGAAACTGACTCCAAATTCTATTCTAGCTTCTACACACACATAAATAAATAAAAGTTACAGTGAAAATTAGTGGCTGAGCACAGTGACTCACACTTGTAATCCCAGCAGTTGGAAGTCTGAGGCAAAAATCCCAAATTCAAGATCTGCCTGGAATATGTAATGAGTTGTAATCAGTCTGAGACACAGAAAGACTGTCTCAAAACCCCAAACAAAGGGCAAGTGAGATGACGCAGGAGGAAAAGGGTGAGCGCGTCTGTCACACAGGCTGACAACTTCCTAAGTTAGCTTTGTAAGTAAAAGTGGTTAGAGATGACTCCACAAAGTTGTCTCTGACCTCCCTTATTGCACAAAGGCAGGAGCATTCATACACACACCATACATACACACAAAACAAAACACACTCATTTCACTTTCTTCTTTAAAATACATGATTTGAATTCCTTTTCATAAGTTAAATTTCTTTAGACTCTTACAAGTCTATACAAATAAAAATCTCTTACCTAACATAGACATTGCAATTTTAAGTATGTGGCCCCTCACCTCTGCTTCATTTCTTCCACATTTGAGATTCCACAGAACTGCCCTGGTTTTTTTCCAGTAAGGCAGTAACTTTGCCCTTTTAGGAATCTCTAAAATCTACTTCTCCAATAGGTGGCGACATTGTTCTTTTAAAAAGAAAAACCGAATCAGGGCACTAGAGTATGAACTAGTTATTAATTTATTAGAATGTATAGCTATATACAGGATGGTAGTTTGAGAGTTCCAAAGTCAACTGTACTGATTTAATCTGCAGCATTGTTACATAAAACAAAACTTGGATACTCTTCCTAGAAAATTTAACATTCCTTCAATTATGGTTGATTTTTGAGGTGACCAAAACAAAGGTACTTTGAGATCTGACAAGTATGGAAAACCTAAGTGATGGCAATTAGACTCCATCAGGGTCTTCTGGGGTGTTGGAAGCACCACGCTCTGCTGTTTGATACTTCTCCAGTTTAGCAATCAATTCTTTCGCGGGATTGAAGACCCCATAGGTCTGCTGCTCACAAACATAGCAGCGTGGAGTGGTACGGTAATGCTGCAGTGCACAGGTCTCGCAGAAATAATGCTTACACTTAGTGACAACTGGATTTCGGAAGGTTTGGCGACAGATAAAACATTTGAATGGTATTTCGTCATCATCACTTTCTACTTCGTAGTTTTCATCTTCATACACACCATAACGGCCCTCATCAAGCTCACGTTCTATCTGCCACCCGTGCTTGTAATCTGAACGGTCATGGAGGAATTTGCAGCTGTCTCCAAAGCCACAGAAGCCGGTTTCCTTGTAGTCCTTACAGATGTCAGGCTGATAATCCCAGCGCACGGTGGCACGGAGATGTTCAGGGGCTCGGATGGGGCCCTTTCTCACCATGCCGGAGGAGGCATTGCCCATGGACGTATCCTTGGGCTTCATGTATTTCTGATAATTATTAATTCCACGATAGATCTTGTCATCCTCCTTGCCTCTCAACTCCTCCTGGATTTTTTGGCTGCGCTCAAAAATGGCCTGTGCATCTTTCTCCTTTTCTGTGTCCAGCTCGTAGACAGCTGTCGCCCCCATATCTTCGGGCCCCACCGGTTTCGCCGAGCGCGTGGACTTGTAGACTACGCCCAGACTCTCATTCTCGGTCTTCTCCTCCTCTTCGCTGCTCAGATCACAGTAGGCCGCCTTCTGTTTACTACTGCCACTCGTCTTTTGAATCATTGGATTGTGGGTGGCCCGTTTTTTCTCTGGTCTCACCACTGCGCAGCTCTCGTCGCTACTGCTTCCGCTTTCCCCAGAGTCGGGGTCGCACGCTGGCCGCTTCCGGCGGCCAGCATTCCCTTTCCGCCCGGGCTTTTTGAAGAGGAAAGAGCACACCTGGTCCGCCGACTTTTCCTGAGAAACTTGCTCCGCCATCTTCGACTTCGGAGCGCTGAAACGGCTAGCAGTATCTACGGGATGCTGGGTGGCGCGGGATACTACGTCATCCGCAGCTACGTCACTACAGAGCCGCTCTCTGTCGCTGGGGCCAAGAACGTCAGAGCGCGTGCACCAGTCAGCAAAGGTTTAAGAAAAAGATGCCCTCTGTCTTTAGTTAAATGCTGTTGTGCTTCTTGTTTTGCAATGAATACAAAATTTCCGGCTCAAAGAATTTACAATCTAGTAGGGAAGATAAGGTAAATCAAGATGTGTTCTGTATCAAATCCCATGGGAAGATATAAGGAATCTTAAACAGGACTCTAGGGGAAAGCCTGGGGAGAAAGTGCATAAGGTAAGCCTTTGAAGGCTAGGAGAAATTTTAATGGATAGAGATCTATCAGAAATCTATTAAAATAAAATATTCTGAACAAAACAAGAAAGACAGAACTGGAGTATAGCTGATAGATTCCTTGTCAAACATGCCCAAGGCTCTGACTTCAAGCACAAAGAAAATAAAGAAGACTTCAAAGTTATGTGAATATCCAATTTGGGTAAACTAACGGATAAAAGACCATGTGTTGGTGTAAGTGTATTGTTATAAAAGATTAAAATTTAAGCTGGGCATGGTGGTGCACACTTTTGATCTCAGCATTTGCAAGACAGAGGTCAGTAGACCTCTGTGAGTTCCAGTCTGGCCTAGTCTACAAAATGATTTCCAGGACAGTCAGAGCTGTTACAGAGAGAAACTCTGTCTCGAAAAACAAAAACAGGCAGGGCAGTGGTGGAACATGCCTTTAATCCCAGCACTCGGAAGGCAGAGGCAGGTGGATCTCTGTGAGTTCGAGGCCACCCTGGTCTACCAGGCTAGTTCCAGGACTGGCTCCAAAGATACAGAGAAACCCTGTCTCGAAAAACTAAAAAAAAAAAAAAAAAAAAGAAAGAAAGAAAGAAAGAAAAGGAAAAGAAAAAATTAAAATTAGATAGGTGTACAGTCTTAACTTACATATTAAGCTGCTTAAACAATATGCTCTTGACAGCTGAGAAATATAGATTCTTGAGGAAAATGATCAGATCATCAGAACTGATATTTTAAAGATTCCTAATAGAATTGAGGCATTCCTGTAATCCAAACACATAGGAGGCAGAGGCAAGAGGATCAGCTCAGAGCCACCCTGGGCTACATGAGACCCTTCTCAAAATAAAATTAAGATGGGGCTTACGGAGATGATTCAGCAATTAATAGCATGTATTGCTCTTTCAGAAGATCCGAGTTCATTTCCCAATTCCGACATCAGTTGGCTACCAACTGCCTATAACTGCAGCTCCAAAGGCTCCAAAACTCTATTCTAGCCTCTTTGTGTATATGCACATATGTACACACACCCCAACACTTATACACATAACTAAAAATAAAATCTGAGGAAAAATAAAAACAAAATAATTCAGGAGGCTTATGCCTGTAATCCTAGCACCTGAGAGGCTGAGGCAGGGATGTTGTTACAAGCATGAGGCCAGACTTTATATAACAAGATGTGTCTCAAGCAACCTAAACAGTCCTGCTGCTGCTGTGTATACTTAGGGTTATAAGGGTATATGGTGGTTACAATTCTTTGACACTATCTTCAAATGATGGAACCCGATTTCCACCCCTAAAATGTGGACCTGATTTAGAGAAACTGTCCCAAATAACAGAGTATGCCAGAAATGTTGCTATGCCACTAGAAACGATATGTCATGAAGAAAGCTGCTAGGGCTGGGGATCCAGGTCAATAGTACAGTGCTTTCATAGCACACACAAGGCCCTGGATTCCATCACTAGACACACACACACACACACGAAGATAGCTTCTACACAGCTCTTGAATTATTCACTCTCAATGCCACCCACCAACATATAACAAGGACACTCAAGCAGCTTACTAAGTGTCCAGGTGAACGATGCTTAGGCCTACCTACCGTCTGTCACTGACAACACCTGCACAGCCATATGGATGTGCCAATTTGGAAGCAAATTCTTAAGCTTTAATCAAGCATTCAGATGATTCTCCCTAGCTATACCATGGAAATCAGCAAATAGCATAGAACAGTCTGTTTTCAGGAAACTTCAGTGTTCCTCACTGTGAGACGCACCCCTTGACCAGCAAGCAGGAACGACCACGAAATCGAGAATTCTTCCCAAATCACAACTTTATTGGAGCAACTCGGTTGAAGGGGAAATGGGGACAAGAGAGAGAGAGAAAGAGAGAGAGAGAGGGAGAGAGAGGGAGAGAGAGAGAGAGAAGCTGAAAGGCAGCCGCTTTTCTAGGGTGGAGAGGCTCGGATACTGATTGGTTAATACCATTCCGCTGAAGCCCGGGGTTTCGGGATAGGCTAGGGAACCAAGGCTCAGTTATGCAAAATACAGGCCCAGGGCGCTCTGGCCTGCACAGCAACATCAAAAGGATCTGTTTACCTTCAAGCTGTTGGACCGCTGGCACCATTTCGCCATGGCGATGTCCTGGCGGCCCCTTACACCTCACCTCATTCATCCCTACCCATACAGCCTTCTAATTTTTCCTAAAATTTTCCCTCATCCTAAACACATTTTCCTGTAGAACTCTCCTACTAACAATTCCTAAGAACATATATGTAGTTTAACTATTAATATGATTGGTGTCTTGGCTGAGATTTGCCAAGTTCACAAAGAAATTAATGCCTAGAAAAAAAAAGTTGTCAGGCAGGTGAACTGAATCAGCAGATAAGGGTGTTTGCCACCAAGCCTGACCATCTGAGTTCACCTCTGAAACCTACATGGTAGAAGGAAAGGACTGCAAGATGACCTCCCCTGACCTCCACACAGATACACTCCACACACACACACACACACACACACACACACGCAGAGAGAGAGAGAGAAAATAGGCATACAGATAACATAAAAATATATACAACAGATGAGATATTTCCCTTTCTCTTCTCTAAAATACGATTTTTCACAGGAATAAATATAAGGACTTTTCTCGGGGGCATTAAGTTGTTAAGCCAATCTCCTTAATGAGAGACAGTTCAGTGGTCAAGAATACCTACTGCTTTTTCAGTGGCAGGTTTAGTTCCCAGGACCAACGAGGTGGCTCACAACCTTCAGTCAATCAAGTACCAAGGTATCCAGCATCCTTTTCTGGCCTCCTTCAGCCCCAGGAATACATAAAGCATACTTAAATTCATACAGGCAAAAATATGCACATACATAAATCCTTTTTTTAAAAGAAGAAGGAACAGAAAGAAATTTACCTCATCTAATTCTTTTTCCACTTGGATTTTTCTCTTCTGGAATTGTTTTATTGTCTTTAGCTCTGTCTGAATCATGCCAATTTCTTTGGCTTTTTGATGAAACTGTCCCTCCAACTCATTTATTTGCATAGTATACTTTTGTTCCTGTATTAAAAAAAAAAGTAAATGAGTTAAGAAAAACAAGTGTTCCACAGAGCCATGCTTTATCTGAGGCCTGAGCCATTATGTATTTTCTTGAAAGAACTGTTCCACCTCTATTTTGCATAAAGCCATAATTTTTGCATAAAATCTTAATTTCTGTAAAATAATGCCAGTGGGCCTTAAATAAGAAAAAAAATTCAGGAATTTTTGCTTGTTTGTTTTTTGAGACAGGGTTTCTCTGTAGCTTTGAAGCCTGTCTTGGAACTAGCTCTTGTAGACTAGACTGGCCTTGAACTCACAAAGATCCGCCTGCCTCTGCCTCCCTAGTGCTGGGATCAAAGGCGTATGCCACCACCGCCTGGCGTTTTTTGTTTTTTGTCTACGTAGCTCAGAAAGTAGAATGTGTGGTTAGTAAGTAAAATCCTGGTTCAGACCCCAGAAGAAAATAAAACCCAAACCAAATAAGATACCTGTGTTTAGTTGGCAACACAATCTTACAGAAAGGAATTTCATATTATATTTAAGATGGGGTCTTCCCACTTGCTTCCCTTCAACTTCCTTAGCCTCCCACTACTCTGCCCTTGAACTATGAAGCCTAGGCTAGTTTTGAACTCACAGCAATCCGCCTGCCTCAGCCTCCTGAATGCTAGAATTGCAGAAATGAGTCACCACACCTGGGTTTCACGTAGTTTTAAAAAAGCAGTAGTGTTGAATTAATGAAGTGGCATGCATGAAGTCCTGGGTTCAATCCTCAGCACCACACAGAGGAAATATTTTTGAAGTTTTGATCAGAGACCTTTATTGATATGTATTAGGAGAGAAACCAAAAATTTTACATTATTTTGAACTCTTCTAGCAATGTACAGGTGGTGGTATTAGTGTTCTGAGATTGTTACTGTAGTAAGCCCTAAGTAATAAGGTAATTATACTGATATCATTTAGAAGTCTCTGTAAGGGATAAAGGTGTATCATACAACAAAATAAAAACCCTGTGTTTGAGTCTGGGTGTATAACATAAGATATAACATCTGCCAGTATGAAGAAGCCCCTAGGTTTGATCTTTAGCACACAACTCAGTCCAATATTCTTGCATCTGTACTCCAAGTATTATTATTCATTTTGGAACTCGGTATCTATGTTTTTTGAGACAAGATTTGCTATGTTGTATATGTATGCAAACACTCAAGCACATAAAATGACCTAAAGAATAAATTCAAAGAATTCTCTGTATAATTCTAATAGTTCTACTTAACCTATGTTGTTATTAAGGTTATAATTTATATGGATGTTCCTCTCATTATAAAACTGTAGAATTGCAGTCTTCAGTAAAAATCTATTTCTTATTTAAAAAATAAATAAATAAATAAATAAAAAATAAAAAAAAGATTTGCTATGTTGCCCACAACACTGGCTTTGAGAACATCTAACTGCTAGACTCAAGTAGAACTCCTACTTCAGCCTTTGAAGTAGCTGGTGTGTGTCACATACCCCACAAGATGCTACTTTTGGACATTTGTATAAACAAGTACATGAGTTTTATATTTGTTCATTTATTATTTTGTTTTGTTTTTGTTAAATATCTGGGGATCAATGCTTCTGAACCCCCCTTTTCACTTTATTTATTTATTTATTTATTGGTTTATTTATTGGTTTATTGAGCCGGGGCTTCTCTGTGTAACAGTCTTGACTGTGCTAGGATTAAAGGCATACACTACTTCCTTCCAGCTTCACTTATTGGGCCTAAAATAACCAAACTCACTAGAAATCTGGTTCCCTAATAAGTAAACTATTAGTATATGTAGATACTTACCAATTTTTCCTTCTCTTCTTTGGCTTTTTCCTTTGTTTCAACCAATTGCTGTTTCAGTTTTTCTATCTGTAGAAGACAAAATGCGAGAGTAAGGAGACACAGAATTGCTTTGTGTCCTGTTTCTATTCATAAGCTTTATTAATTTATGTAATAGTAAAGACGTGAGCCAGGAAAGACAGTGAAGAAGTGTAGGGAGCCGTTAGGAGAAATCGCCATTACAAGATGGCACCGACGTTCCTGCAGCTTGGAGGTAATCAAGTCCTTATTTGGTATTGCTCCGTGGGGCTGAGTGCCCTTTGCCTGCACATGCGCAATTGAGCCTTATCACTGGCCAATCCCGAGGCTCCGGGCATCAGCAGACTGGTATTTACCAATCAGGGCAGTACCTGAGTCCCCTCACCCTATTTAAGCAGATGCCACTTGGCTCTCTCTCTCTCTCTCTCTCTCTCGCTCTCGCTTTTTCTCTCTCTTTTTGTTCTCTTTTGTTTCTTGCTCTCTCTCGCTTCCTGCTCTCCCTTTAACCAAGAGGCTCCAATAAAGTGTGATGTGAGAAGAATCCTCGATTGGTGGTCGTTCTTCATTGCTGGTCAAGGGGTTCGCCACAAAGAAGGAAGGGACAGGAATTTCCTCATATACTTGATCTGCTACTGACATTTCTGAGATCTAGCTACTATCAGAATTACGGGGATAATTTTTTGTAGTTGTAAAATAGACAACATTGGGCTGGAGAAATGAGTCAGTGATTCAGAGTGTTTACTGCTCTTGCAGAGGACCCAAGCCTAATGCCTACCACCCACATGGCAGCTCACAACTGCTTATAACTCCAGTACCAGGATCTGATATCTTCTGGCCTCCATACAGACTCCTGCATGGATCTGATGCTCAGGCACACACAGATACAAATAAAAAACACAATGTTGAATTTACTCTGGCAACCTCTTCTTTTTAAATATGGTTTTTCAAGATAGGATTTCAATGTATAGTGCTGGCTGTCCTGGATCTCACTTTATAGACCAGATTGCCCTCAAATTCACAGAGACTCACCTGCCTCTGCCTCATGAGTACTGGGAGTAAATGCATGTGCCACCACCACCAGACTCTGTCAACCATTCTTAAGTGCTCAGGTAAGTAGTACTAAGCTTGTTCTTGTTGTTACCTAAAAGGTCTCTAGAATTTTTCATTTTGCAATTCTCCTTTTCCTTTCCTTTTTGCCTCTGGAAATCAATTCAGTTTCTTGAATCTGAATCCTTTATGTATTTCAAATGACTTGAATCATACAGCACTTGACCACATGTTACTGGTTAATATCATGTAACATAATATCTCTGAGGTTTACTATACTGTGGCATGTTACATTGTTTTCTTAAGGCTATCCAATTGTCCATAAATATGTAAACCTTATTATCTTTTTCTCTTTGGGGAGGAGTGATGGAAGTAGATACAGGGTTTCACTGTGTATACATGACTGACCTGGAACTGGATATGTAGACTAGGCTAGCCGCAAACAGAGATCTAACTGTCTCCCAGGAGTGCTAATTAAAATGTGGACAGCCACGCCCAGCCTGACTTTATTTTCTCTATCCATTTACTTTTTAATAGGTTTTTAAGTTGTCAGTTGTTTTTTCAAATTTTTTAAAATTATGTGTTGTGTCTGAACATGGCCACCTTTGTATGGTGTCATTGGTGGTCAAGAAGCATCAGATATCCCTGAAGCTGGAGTTCTAGGCAGTTGTGAGCTGCCTGATATCGATGCTAGAAATCAAATTTAAGTCCTCTGAAAGAATAGCACACACTCTTACCTGCTAAGCCATCACTTCAGTGAAATTTTTAAACTGCTTTCATCTCTGTTGATGTAAATAATGCTATGAGAAAGAAAGAAAAAGCTAATGATAGCAAAGCTATTCTGAAATAACAGCTTGCTTCAAATGGAGTTAAGTGTAGATGGAAGTTTCTGTCCTGCAAGCCGCTCCCAAGTTAACCAACCACACAGAGGCTTAATATGAATTATAAATGCTCAGTCAACAGTTCAGCTTGTTATTAACTAACTCATACATAAATTAACCCATATTTCTTACCTACCCTCTGCCACGTGGCTCATGGCTTATTACCTCATTTTCTACATGTCCTGCTTCTTCTGTGTCTTCTGGCATCTCCCTTGACCCCACCCTTCTTCATCCCTGCATCCTTAGTTTGGTTGTCCCACCTATACTCCTGCCTGGCTACTAGCCAGTCAGCTTTTTATTAAACCAATCTGAGTGGCGTCTTTACAGTGTACAAAAGGATTATTCCACAGCAGTTAAGGGCTAACTACAGTACCCTAACCATATGATGAGATTTCAAAGTCTTACCATCTTAAAAAAAACAAAAACAAAAAACAGCATTTGAAGGCAAAAGGCAGATAGATGTCTGTAAGTTTGAGGACAGCCAGGGTTATTTAGAAAGACTCTGTCTGAAGTCGGGGTGGTGGTGCACGCCTTTAATCCCAGCACTTGGGAGGCAGAGGCAGGCAGATCTCTGTGAGTTCGAAGCCAGCCTGGTCTACAAAAGCTTATGTCAGGACAGGCTCCAATACTACAACAAAACCCTGTCTCGAAAAACCAAAATATAATAATAATAATAATAAATTAAAAATAAAAAATTTAAAAAAGACTGTCTCAAACTAATAGAAAACAAAACAAAACTTTTAAAAATATAACCATGTCACATAAACACAGAGGGAGATTGTGGGTTCACAGTTTGTTACCTACCTACCATATTATCTTTCTCCTGATCCTGCTTCTTCAAGTAGCTTAATACAGACATAGTGTCTTTTTCCAATTTATACTGCTGTTTCTTTAAGTCTTCATTATTTTTTGCCAGTCTTCGGGAAGTATCACGATACTCAATCCTAGAGAGTTCTGTGACTTCCAATCTGGCCTCCCAAAGAGAGGCATTGGCCTTGGCTCGCTCAACCACTTGGTCCTCTGCTTTCACTACTTTCCTACAGAAGACGATAGTGAGAATATGTAACTTTCTTTACCTTATCAGCACCATTTCTCTTCTATTGTGCTTGGCACTGCCTAGCACATAAAAGCATTACCGCTGGACGAATGCATTAATTAGAAATACACTTCCATTTGTATTCATGTAAAAGAGGAGAGGAGTGCTTTGGTACGACGTTAGAGGACTAGAACAAGAAGAGGAAATAGGAGGCCAAATGCATTTCAGAAAGCTCTATACCTTCTCATTTACTTCATTCTTCCATATTTCTTTATTTGTGCTGTGCTGGGTATCAGACCTGATCTCGAGCATGCTGGGCAAATAAATGCTCTACAGTTCCAGCTCCTCATCTTTTCTCCTATCTCACTCAGTTGTGAACCTTGGCTCACTCCCCTCATTATGATTACATTTCTACCTGAGGATACATTTGTTTATATGTCTACAGTCTCCAGCCCCGCTCCACCCCCAGTTTTTGTCATTGTTGTTTTGTTTTGGCTAGTTCACACACAAATGATCAAATCACTTGGGCAAGTATTTTAAATATTTTACTTGCTGGTACCCATAGTAAACCAGGTTTTAAGGAAAAACACACCATAATCATTTACGCTGAGATGAAAAAAATTTAAGGCCCTAGGGATGAAGACTGGTAGCAGCAGATCAAATATTATATATCTAGGTTTGATCCCCAGAACCATGAAAAACAATAAGGGGTGGATTCAAAGCTTTAAGTGAGGAGATGGCTCAGAGGATAAGAGCAATGGCTGCTCTTCCAGAGGTCCTGAGTTCAATTCCCAGCAACCACATGGTGGCTCACAACCATCAGTAATGAAATCTGGTGCCCTCTTCTGGCCCACAGGGATATATGCAGGCAGAATATTATATAATAAACATTGTATAATAAACAAAAAAAGCTTTAAGTGATGAAAGGTGAGGTTTTTCAAAATAAATACTGCACTAGCATTAACAAAACACTATGATAGGCACTAGTTACATAAACAATGCATAAAAAGTTTCACCTATATTTGAATTCTAAATAGTCTCCCGAGAGTATGTAAGTAGATCTTTCCTACTTACGCTGTTGCTTTCCATATCCTCTCAACTCCTGATTCTTTACTCCTTTTGCACATCTACCTTTTGTTCTCTTCGAATCCAGGCCAGCTCCACTCCTAATTCTCCAGTCTGTCCGTTTCCAGTGTGACTCAGACACTAGCGATAGAACGCCTCTCTACAACCTTCAGTGTGACTTAGACACTAGCAATAGAATGCCTTTCTACAACCTCCAGCTGGTACCAGACAGTATCAAGAATTGATGCAAGCAATTAGCTGTCTCCAAGAAAAAGACCACCAAGTTACTGGAGAAACAAACGAGGGTTTCTCAAACAATAAGCCATGGAATATTCAAGGAATACAAAGTATGTTATTGTTCCTCCTGTTCTCCTGTGTTCTGACGATGAAGAGTCAAAAATATAAAACATGGCTGTGGGGAGCAGGAATGTTATAAGCTCTTGGCAGTTTTTAGAATGTTCTAGACTGAGAAGTTATATTTTGTTTTCTCAATCACCTTGTAGAATATATATCTTAAGAGGTCAGGGATGTGGCTCTATGGTAGAACACTTGCCTATCAGGAGAAGGCCTGAGTTTGATCCTAGGGAGTCTACAAATCATTCACCTACCATTTTACACAGGAATAAAATAGAAAACACAATGGTAGTGGTTTAACTGTGGATGGTGGGATGACAGGTGATTTTCTCTTTCTCCTTTAGTATTTCCCATATCTCCCAAGCTTTCTGTACTGAGTATGAACTTCCTCTAAGTTACTCTGCTGGAGATGGAACCTAGGACCCTGCACAAGTACTCTATCACTCAGACACTCACACACCAAACAAGCTACCTTTTTGGTTTTTGGTTTTTCCTTTATCTTTCTTTTTTTTTTTTTTTTTTAGGGACAAGAGCTTCCTATGTAGCCCTAGCTGCCCTAGAATTTGTGGTCTTTCTCCCTCAGCCTCCAGAGCAACGTGATGGCAGGTGTGCGTTTACTGAACCTACCTCCAAAGAATTCACTTCACAATTACAAGTTTAAGGGATTCCTTTGCGGTTCCCACATATGATGGTGTTGAATTTCATGTGTACCTCCAAAGGCTTCAGGAACTACGGGGGTAGCCCACTAGGTCTATTTAGGTCTATTGACCTTCTAGCGGCAACTCGTGGCACCTAGAGCAATGCCCATGGAGGTGGGGTATCTGACCAATCTGGTCAAATCCTTTTGCGTTCTCCTTTTGATCCAAAAGGATTCTTGAGAGGCCCAAGGAACCACTTTAACAACTCAGACCAGAGCCAGAATGGAGTACACCAGTTCACATCAGTCTCATAATGGAGCTCTGTCAAGATGCTAGGGCCAAGTTGGACAGCGCAAGAGCTGTCCTCAAAAGCCGCGGCCCTAGATTCAAACAGCCCCGAGGAAAAGGCGGGCTCTGCGTCGCCGCCGCGCTTACTTGTCTTTTTCTTTGCCTTTGTTCTTGCCTTTCTTCTTGTCCTTTGCCGGCATTTTGACTTCTCCAGGAGTCTCACGGCTGTGGTCTCCTGGTGGCCGCCACCTGGGCCGACTCGGTCTCTAAGGAAACCACCACGCCGAAGGGCTAACGTCCTCCGTGCCGTTGAGGGCACGCGGAGGGCGCACGCGCGTGACGTGAGCGCGCCGAGAGGCGGGG